GAGACTATTTATGTTAATAAATACCTGAATACGAGTATTTCGATTGAATTCAATTCCGTTAATAACTTCACTATAAGTGATGCCAAAGAAAACATTGTGACCCCTGTTATGACAAATGCTATGCGCACGTCTTACCGCAATACCACCACGTCCGAGGTGTGTGTTTGAGAGAGAGAGAGAGAGAGAGAGGGAGACCCAAAACACAACTTACTTAATACTATTAACTCGTATGCCTTTGGGTCCCAACTCAGTGGCCATACATTTGGTGAACATATCAATCGCCGACTTTGCCATACAATACGCCGACTCTTTCGGACTCTGTTCATAAAATAGATATTAATTGAAGCATGGTCAATATAGGTTAATATAGGTGATTATAGGTGAATATATTGAAACTACTATACAGCATGAGCTCCTCTAATGCTGGACATGTTGATAATGGTGCCCCGGGTCTTCTCCAAATGCTCCACACATATGGTGGTCATGAATACCATGGCCTCCAGGTTTGTGTGCATAGTCTCCCTATACTTAGCCATAAATGATGGCTCAGTAATGGAGGCGTTCTCGTGACTGACGGGACAGTTGACCAAAATGTCGATTCAGCAAAAAGTCGTCATAGTTTTGTCGACCAGTTTTTGCAGGTCTGCCTCCCGGGTGGGGTCGGCCGCCATTTCCAGTACTTGAGCGCCAGTACTGCGACACTCATTGGCTACGGTAGTGAGTCGGTTGTCGGCGTACTGTCCGCTCACTACAACACTGGCGCCCGATTTGGCGAACAGTATGGCTGTGGACACAGCAACGCGTGTGTTGGCACCGGTGACCAGGGCCACTTTGCCACTGAAGTCGTATGAAACGGACATTTTCTACTAAATTAATGGTGGTGGGTAGATTTAGTGCTTTGTAAAAAATGATTTTTGTAACTAAAAGTAATTTTACTAATTTATTTGAAAACTAGCACATTATATATACTTATAATATGAGTGCAATAATTCCAAATAAAGGTTTTAAACTGCATTCAGAAAACTTGACAATAGAGCTTACATTAAACACGTTCCCTATTAGCAAATGTTTACATTTATTTCGTATTATTGGGAGTGATATGACTTCAATTATCGTGATATCAGCAATAATGAGTTTTGTTTTATATGAAAATTCATTTTGTGTCAATAAAATGTACTTTTTATTTGTGACCTATAAATCATTGTTTCGTAACATTTTCATAAAATTACTTTATTATACGTAATTTTTTCATAATTTTAAGTCTAGCGGTTTCGTCACAATCACAATTTTAAAACATTTTCTGGTCGACCTGTATCTATACAATAGTATTGTTTCTAATGTAATAATTTTAAAATTACATTTATATTCAGTCATAGCCAATTATAATGTGGTTGACAACCAACTTGATCTATAGGTATAAGGAATTGCAAATTACAATGTATTACAATTGCTATTGCAGTCTATTATTCACTTTATGGTTGGCAACAGTTATATCAGTCTATGATTTGATTCAACTTTTCTATCCTTTAGAAATCCTTACAAATTATTAAAGTATTGAATGACTAATTCAAATTACATTACTACATATACAGTACAGCTGTATATTAATTACATGTAAGTGTAGCAGGCACAATCAAATAATATTTAATGGTCATTTGAGTGGTTAAAATGCTTTTACCGGTACTATTATATTTCATACTCGTTAGTAATAAAGTTACTAATTATTTATTTTATACCCTTAATTATGACTATTGTAACTACGGTCAGTTATATTACAATACTATTGTGGTATAAGTAAAGGTTTTTAAATAATTTTTAATAATTATTTTTAATTTAAAAATATGTAAATCATTTAATTTTTAAAGAAATAACTTTATATTAATATTTAAATACAATATAAAAGCAATGTCATTTTCTAATTACAAAATTGAATGATAAGCATTAATCATATAAGTCTATTGCTATAAAACAATTATTTATCCATTTATTTACTAAAATACAGTATATTTGAACCACTATTTTGTATTACAATTTTGTATTATACAGGGTTAACTTTAATTAAAAACATTCAAAATGGATATGACTAACGGATTAATTGTTTTAACTATCACATTGATATCGATATACATTTATTTGTAAAATACTTTTAATAATTATATAAAATATACCTGATGTTGTAATGCAAAGCCAGACTAATGGATTGCATATGAATTTTTTTAAATTCATCATTTTCCAGTAAAGTTTAAAAGTTAATAAAGTTTAATATAAGTATCATGCATTGTTCATAACTATATTATGACTATGTTTATGTTTGTATTTAGCAGTACAATGCATGCTACATATACTATATTTAGCTTTATTAACTTTTATACTTTACTTGAAAGCAATGAAAACTTTTAAATTCATATGTAATCCATAAGTCTGGTTTTGATTTTCAACATCAAAATTTAAAACTATCAATAATTAATTTTAGGTCAATTTGGTGTAGCAACGATTACTGGTCTAAACAGGGTATTAATGGTCCCAAACCTATACCAATATTTGGCAATATTATCAACACTTTTATTACGAGTCAAAAGGATCGTCTACTTGGCTATCAAAAGAAATATGGCAAAATATACGGGTAAACAGGGTAAGAGCTGAAACATAAACATGTAACTAATTTATATATTGTAGCCATTACATGGGAAACATACCGGTGCTAAGAATTGCTGACTTGGAGCTAATCAAATTAATTCTGGTGAAAGACTTTCACGTGTTCGTCGACCGGAACATAGTATGGGCCGCGAAAACGTCGATCCGTAGCCTCAATCTGAACCAACTTTGTGGCGACGACTGGAAACGTGTCCGCTCTATAGTAACGCCTATTTTCTCGTCGGGGAAAATGCGGCGAATGTACCCTCAGATCAAGCAATGTTTGACGTCATTCATGAACTATTTGGATGTACCGGCTGAAAATCGCGAAGAATTAGATATGTTTGACACGTTTAGCAAGTTTTTGCTAGATGTGAATTCCACTACAATTTTCTCTACAAAACTAGATTTGTATAGAACCCCTACAGATGGCGATACTACTAGTGAACACCCGTTTGTTGTCCACGCGAGAGATAAGCTTGTGTTTAAGGATTGGAAAGAGATGGCGTCACTAGTGTTACCAAATTTTGTTCTTAAATTTATTCGTTTGGCGGATTCGAAAGCGAATATATTTTTCGAAGACTGTGTCCGCCATCTATTGAGGGAGAGACGCGATAATCCGGGTAAAAAACATGAGGATTTTGTTCAGATGCTAATGGATGCTGAGGTAACTGATAGAAAGCCCGACGATGATAGTGACACCATTCAAGATAATAGTGAAAGTCATTATGTGAATCAAGGTACGTAAAAATATTTAGGTAGTTTGAATTTATTTCAAGTGCAAGTTTAAGTTAATCCTAAATTAATCTAGATAATTATGATTTTAAATTTACAAATTTATACTTTCTTACCTAGTTTCTTATATCCTAATACCAATAATTGTAATTATAAGTTTTAAGATATCATATTGAGATAGCTTATTTAATTAATAAATTGAACATATATTTGTAAAAACTAATCTACTGTAGTACTATAGTTATTGTAGTAATTTTTATAATATGACTGCTATCACTATCAATGTAGATTCGTACAAATTTTAAAAATTAATTTAGTAGTTAGTAAAATAATTTTAATTATAAAATTTAACATAAAATAAAATCATTGAAAAGGCGCGGAGTCGTTGGCCGTCGAGCGAAAAGTGATGGACATTAAGATTAGGGACAAACATCTGACAGAGGACGAGGTTGTGGCTCAGGGACAGCTATTCATGTCGGTTGCCTTTACGGCCACCGCATCGACACTGGCGCTCACGGCTTACGAGTTCGCCCTAAACCCTGACTGTCAGCGCCGCCTACGGGACGAGATTACAGGCGCTATCAGCGCCACCACCGGTGAGATAGAGTACGATGTGTTGGCACGACTACCCTATTTGAATGCCGTCGTGTCGGAGACCCTGCGCATACACGTCACACCCATTTCCTTGTTTAGGTACCCGTCTGTTGATTATAGGTTAGGCGATACGGGTATTACTTTGAAGGCCGGCCAACAGATAGAGATTCCCGCCTACGCTATACAAATGTCGGATGAGAATTATCCGGATGCTTTTAAGTATAACCCTGATAGATTTATGCCCGAGAATAAGCACCTCATTAAGCCCTACACATACCTGCCCTTCGGGGCCGGCCCTCGGAATTGCGTTGGAATGCGTTTAGCGTTATTACAAATCAAGATATGTTTGGCTCATATGGTGTTGAAGTATCAGTTCTTCAGGACTCCCAAAACGGACGTTCCGTTGCAATACCAACGATCGCTTCAAATGGTGTTCCCAAAGCGTGTTTTTGTCGGAATTAAGAAAATTACATAATTGTTAGATTAACCTTGCTCTTTCCCACTTATTAAGTTACAATCGTTTTTAAAACTATTTAAAATAGCTCAATTATATTCTATTTACTCGCTTTAAGAAATTACTTTATATAATAGATTGAGTGAATTATTATTTGTTCAAAATATTTAAACAAGAGTGCTTATTATTTAATTATAATTGTTAACACAACTTTTCCTAAAATATAATTATTTTGTTATGTAATAGTAGATTGCTGCAAAATTAATGCGGTTGTATCATGTAGATTTCAGAGAAATATAATTTCAATAAAATTTAATCACTTCTTATTTATTTAATCACAAAAAATTTATTTATTTAATAAAATATATAAATTCATTCAAAAACAACTATTTAATATTAAATGAAATTTATTAAAGTTTTTGTTTAGTACAACAGGGTCATTACTATAATCTACATTAAATTAATGAAATAGACAAAAACATCATTCACACATAATTAAATGAACAGTGATATATGCAACCGTATTGTTTATTTAAATTAAAAATATTGACTCCAAATGCCATCACAAGTACTTCCGTACGGATTGTCCAAAACAAGTGACATATCGTTGGGATTCAAGTCT